TATCGTGCATCCCTAGTATTAATCAAACATGAGTTAACTTGTCAATATGAAAACAAATAGAAAGAAAAAAGTAGTTTTGGTCTTCTTTGATTGAAGAATCTTCTTTCTCTTGTTGGTTGTGGACAAACATCTTAAGATTGTCTTGTTAACAATAGCTTTGTAAAATAAAATCTAATTCTCCTTTCAGTGATTATTATTCACTCTATTTACTAATTACCTGCATTTGTAGGTTTCAGATGAAAGAAGAATAAATGCATATTCTAACGCCAATATTTAAATTTCTAAAAACATTGTAATTTCCCCTCATGATGATTCGCCTGTTTGGGTTCATCAATCAAACAGAATCTCAACATTTATTGAGCTTTTTCTTTTTGGGTTCTTCCATTTCTTTCTAGTTTGTTTCTGGTTGTGAACGTGACTCTCAGCCCACCTGTCATCATGCAGGCGGTTGGAGTTTTATTGCTCTCTGCCTTTCAGCCAACATGCCCTTCCCTGCAGATAAACACANACGTGACTCTCAGCCCACCTGTCATCATGCAGGCGGTTGGAGTTTTATTGCTCTCTGCCTTTCAGCCAACATGCCCTTCCCTGCAGATAAACACAGACAGGAACCACTCAGGTCGACTGTTGAACGGCAGTCAGGAGAGCAGCCAGGTGCTAACGAGACCCACTTCCCTCTTCTCTCCTCTCACTCCCCTCTTTCAATAAAGAATGTAATAATCAAGGAACAGTTTTCTTTTTATTTGTTTGCAATGTATTGTGGGATATATTATATATATTACTGCTGCTGGTGCAGGCAGATCAAAAGCATTCATGGAAAAGTACAAAATCAGCTTGGAGCAAAGTTTGCTAAAACATTTTCTCTCCATGCTTTTTCCCCCCAATCCTATTTTGCACATTTTCACTCCAGTAACAGCATGTAATCTATACCGCATAGCAAAATGAAAGAGAAAGAATTCTTCTACTAGTCGGGTAAAAAAAAAAAAAAAACACAGATCAACGTCTTCATAAAAATGCACATATTTCCGACATCGCATTCCCCTTTGAGTTCTCAGCGAAGCTCAGATCAGAAACAGTTTTCCTCCAAAATGTTCAGAGTAAGCAAACAATTGCACATGACTTTAGTCGCCTTTTCCCACCATATAATCACACCCACTTTAGCTAAAAACATAATTCCACTAGTTTTCATCAAATCAAAAGGCAAAGAAAAGCAGCAATCTTAGATGTTAAGTCTTTTCTTAGAGAGCGGCTGGTGTATTGCTTCAACTTTCACCTTTGTTCTTAAGCAACCATTAAAATCTGCTTTATATTCTCTGCTTATTTATAAGCATGGCATGAATTCATTTTCATACAGAGAGCTGACATGTCCCTTAGGAGAGCCCCGAATGAGTATTTGAACACCACTGGAGCAGCATTTCCATTTGACCTCTGACCTCTGCTGAAGATCTCCAGGGTCACAAAGAGTGATTTAAAATCCATGGAAATCCAGTAAAACAGATTAGAGGGTGTGATACCACAACCTAATGCAATAATGAAATGATTGGATCGTTTAGAAAATTAAATAGAAAGTAAGAAGTGAAAAGCAGGTGATGCTGCTGGGGTTGGGGGGGGTTAGTCTGACTCATTACACCCCAGCCAGTAACACANTTAGTCTGACTCATTACACCCCAGCCAGTAACACAGACCCTTTCTCTGCTCAAACATCCAGTCATAACTCTGTCTGAATCATACCTGACTGCTAACATACAAGTGTGCAGCATTAACCGGAAATAAGGATTGTTCTTTGCAAAAATAAGAGCCCAAATTTGTCAGCCCAGAAAAATAGGAATTAGGCTTATTGTAACTTAAATAAGGTGACAGTTTTGATATTAACATGATTGAAAGATAAGTGTTTGCTTCCTGTTAGTCAAAACGGAACAAAGAATTTATGTTTAAACATAGAAGTATATCATAGTTTAGGTTAAACAAGTTTTGGCCGTTCTCTTTGAGCGACTGATGTCAGTTAAAACATTTATGGTTTGTTCTATTTATACTGAGTTTAAAATTAAAATGGTTTTCTGATTAATACCAGGTTTGACTTTATTCCTGTAGGCAGAGGTTTAGATTTCAGGTCAGATTGAAGGCAGCATCAACTGCTCGATTAAATCAAGTAGCTAGAATGCTTCTTTATTTGGCCTTTAGTTTAGAAATTAGAGGATATCAGCAGCAAAGTGGAAAGTGTTTTCTGGTTTTATTTGTTTCCTTCATGCAGAGAGGAAGGCCGGTATAACACAGAGGAAAGTGGTGATGGACAGAGGAGCTCTCTGCTCTTTCTTCCAGGTGGAGACATTAGATGGTGTGAAGTGCCTTAAGGTGGAAAAACAGCTGAATAACTATGGATAGTAGGAAAGGGATCCTGACTGCCTGCTCATTTAAGGCAGACAATAATTTTAACGTTAGGTTTTTGTGTCAGATTTTCCAAAACGGGGGGAAATTAAAAGATATCTGTTTTTTTGTTTTTTTCAGTCTGTTTTTCTACTTTGAGTTCAGAAATTCTTACCTCCATTTT